GTTTAAAAGAGCAGAATGTTTGTAAGATATGTAAGAATAAGATCTGCTGTCGAGTGCTTACAATGAATTGCCATATTTCGATGCCATCTTGGCTGGGAAGCACCAGTCACTTAGGCTTGTCACCACCACAGCAGGTGTATCCACAGAGCGGTCCCTGACCTTATAAAGCTCATTTAAGCCTCTTAGATTTTTTTGACTGTCCCAATTCATAAAGCTTTAGTCTGAAAGAATATAAATTTAGTTTATTGCAGAACTGCAGCTGTAAATTATTCAAATAAAAATGATAGAATTTTTGGCTAAAAACAAAGATACAAAGATTAGGAGTAGGAATGATAATAGTTACTTATCTGACTGATAGAGTGACCTTATTTTCATGTTTATCTTTGCAGGCCTCTTACTTGCTTGACTATTCTCTTTTCAAAGTGACAACATTGAAAATCTGAAGCCAGAATTCAACAGTTGTGATAGCTTCTATTGTTGAATATTTGCTTGTAGCAGGGATTCAATAGATGGTGCAGGGTTTGGGAGAGATGGAAGTGATTTCTTGTTTCTCACTAGTTCTGCACTTAAGGTATTTGCAGATTGCCTAACTTCTTTCAGCAGAACTTTGATTAGAGTCATAGAGCTGTACAGCATGGAAACAAACCATTCAGTCCAATTTGTCCATACCAACCAGATATCGCAAATTAATCTAGTTCCATTTGCTAGCATTTGGCCCATATTCCTCTAAAATCTTCCAAACTGCCCTGACTGTTTAACTTGTCCGTTTTTCCAACTGCACCAGTCTCAGACTGATCTCTCACTATCTCCCTGGGTTGCACTTGCTAATTTCAATCTGCACTATACGATCATTTATTTTGTTTCGTATACTGCCCACATTTTTAAGTACAACACCCTCAGTTTAACATTGACTGCCGCCCTTCTCATCGTTGTCCCTTATCAGCTGTGCCTGAAGTTAGATTCCTAAGCCTTTCCATATTTAATGTCCTATCACTTGTTCTGGAAACTTTAAGAACCTCTGCTAAGCCCTGCCTTCCTTTCACGTTGGCAAAATTTTCCATGCAACTGAACCCACCTCTCTCACTCTTCAGTTCAAAGCCCTATCCATAGCCCTACATTTATGATTCGCCAGGACTCTGGTCCCAGCATGATTTGAGTGGAGCCCATCCTGTCAGAACAGCTCCCTCCCCTAATACTGGTGCCAATGTCCCATGAACTCAAATATGTTTCTCCTACACAAATATTTGAGCCATACGTTTACTACTTTAATCTTGTTAACCCTTTGCCAATTTGCTTGTGGCTCAAGTAATAATCCAGAGAAAATCATCTTTTTGGTTCTGCTTTTTAATTTAACCCCTAGCTGCTCACACTCCCTCAGCAGAACCTGTTTCCTCCTTCTCCCTATATTGTTGGTACCTATGTGGATCATGACAAATGGATCTTTCCCCTCCCACTCCAAAGTTCCTCTGCAACCAAGGTGAAATATCCTGAAACCAGGCACCTGGCAGGCAACACAGCCTTTGGGACTCCTGATCCTGGCCAGAGAAAACAGTGTTAATTCTCCTGAACATACAATCCCTCATTACATCTGCATTTCTCTTTTCTGCCCCCTCTTGAATGGCTCTCTTGTACCGTGGTGCTATGGTCAGTTTGCTGAAGCCTATAGCCCCCACTCTTGCCGACACAGGGAGCACACAGCCTGTTAGATAGGCTCAAGGGCTGAGGCTCCTTCAGCACCAGCTCCTGGATGTCTCTACCTGCCTTTTTCCTAGTCAGACACTCCTGTCCCAGACCACTGACCGAATTTAAGATAGAATCATAGAATCCCTACAGTGTGGGATACGGCCATTCAGCCCCTCCTAACCTACACATCCCTGGATACTTTCCAATCTACCATTGCCAGTATTACCATTACTGAATCTCCTGCCATTAACATCCTTTAGATTACCATTGACTAGAAACTCAACTGGACTTGCCACAAAATCATTGCAACTGCAACAGCAGACCGGAAGCTAGGAATACTGGGGCAAGTAACTCACCAAGCCTGTCCATCATCTACAAGGCTCAGGTCAGAAGTGTGATGGAATACTCCCCTCTTGTCTGGATGGGTGCAGCTCCAACAACACTGAAGATGCTTGATGCCATCCAGGACAATCAGCCAGCTTGATTGGCACTCCATCCACAAGCATCCACTCCCTCCATCACTGACACTCAGTCACAGCAGTGTGCACTATCTACAAGATGCACTGCAAAAAATTCACCAAAAGTTCACCAAAGCCAATACCTTCCAAACCCACGGCCACTTCCAACCACAGGGATAAGGGCAGCAGATACATAGGAACACCACAACCTTCAAGTTCCCCTCCAATCCACTTGTCATCCTTTCTTAGGAATATATCACTGTTCATTCACTACACTAAGTCAAAATCCTGGAATTCCCTCGCTAAGGGCATTGTGAGTCAACCTACAGCACGTGAACTGCAGCGGTTCAATAAGGTAGCTCACCACCACCTTCTCAAGGACAACTAAGGACAGGCAATAAATGCTGGCCAGCCAGCTATGCCCACATCTGACAAGCAAATAAGAAAAATATTATAATTACATCGTTATGGTACCAGTTTATATTCCCATGTAGTTTTTGTATATCTACCTTGCCGTCTCCTTTTCCAGTCAGCTTTAGCAAACATGGGCATGTCTGGTAGTCAGTTGGAGAATTCATTATAACCTCTGCCAGTACTTGTTAGTTTTCCTGCTATTTTCCCTAGACATTACCCTGCAAAAGAAGACCAATCAGTTAATGTTGTAGTTAATAATATAGTCTCCTAAATGGACAATTTTTATTTCTTCTTGAATTCTCTGACCAAAGGCAGGTCCAATTCACAGCACAGAAAGAAATCCGAAATCCACCCCAGCTAAAACAGGGACAGAATCTCCATGCTGTTAGAACCACTCTGATCGACACCAGAGATCCAACCAACTGCTAGCCTTCCTGCTCCTATGATGCTGCTTGGCCTGCTGTGTTCATCCAGCTCTACACCTTGTTATCTCTGACTCTTCCCTCCCCTCCCCCACTTCTACATGCTTGTTGTAGCCTGGAGCTGCAGATGGTGATTGTAGAGGCAATTGTTATTCAAAAACATCAATTTGTTGCAGAGATAGTAAGAACTGCAGATGCTGGAGTCAGAGATAACACAGTGTGGAGCTGGAGGAACACAGCTGGCCAGGCAGCATCAGAGGAGCAGGAAAGTTAAAACACTTTTCTGAAGAAGGGTCCCGAACTGAAACATCAACTTTCCTGCTCCTCTGATGCTGCCTGGGCTGCTGTGTTCCTCCAGCTCCACACTGTGTTATCAATTTGTTTCAATTGTGCATTGATAAACCAATCAATGCCTTCAGTTGCAGGAACAAGGGATGAGAGTTACATGGATAGACTGTGAAATCTGAGATTGTTATCCTGAGAGCAGGAAAAAGTTGGGAAGAGATTTGATGAGGTGTTTAAAACCTTGAAAGATTTGGAAAGGGTGAATAAGAATTGTTTTCCTTGTCTGTCTGTCTCTCTTCCTCCCCCCTCCCCCCCAAGCTTCCCTCGTTTCCTCCTGTTTTCCTTCTGTCCCTCCAATCATCTCTCTATCTATTTTTCCTCATCTCTCATTTCCCCTTTGTCTCTTCCCCTCACCTCTGTCTTCCCTCCTGTCTCTTTCTATCTTTCCTTTATATCAATCTGTCTCCTCTCCTCAACTCTTTCTGCTTATCCCTTCCTCTTACCTCCCCCATTCCCATCTTCCCCCCGATTTCTCTCTGTCTGTCTCCCTCTCACACTCTCACATCTTTCCATTTTTTGCTTTTCCCTTGTATATGTCTCTTATCATTCTCTCCTCACTCCCTGTTCTCGTATCACTCTCTCCTCCCTTGTCCATCTCTCTCACAGCAGAGGAACGTGATAAATGCTATTATACTAAAACAAAACAATGAAGGTACTAGAAATCAAAGATAAAAACAGAAGATACTGGAAATATTCAAAAGGCATACAGTTTGGAGATGGAATAAGTTAACATTTCATCTCTTCAGTGACCTGCTGAAAGACCATTGACTCAAAGGTTAACTGTTTCTCTTCGTAGCTCCTCCCTGACCTGCTGAATATTTCCATCATTTTCTATTTTTGCATTGTAAAGGCTATAGTGGTGCAGAGGGCATATAATGTATTTTGTTGCAGAGATTCAAAATAGATTACCCAAAATGATCCTTTTGAGGATACACCAACCAAAAGATAGTCCAGACTGGCAGAGAAAGTTAAAGTCCGGTGTTGTAAGTGAATTTAAATTAATCACAGATTTTGATATGTTGCCGAGGGATGGAGTATTTTGTCTGGATGTGAAGTCACTGACCAGGGTCAGGAATTCCCTGTTTTCACTTGTTCTTTAGCAGACTTGCAACCAAGTGGAGCATGAAATGGTTTGTCACAGGGAATGGTTCTGACAGAGAGAATTAATTATTTTAATTGAAATTTGAATTAATATTTAAAATCAGTGATCAGTTTTATATTGATTCTGGACCATGAAGAGAAACAAAACAATGGATTAATCAGGGATTGATATGAACGAGGAACAAGAGTAGGCCACTCTGCTCTTCGAGCCTCTTCCGCCATTCAATAAGATCATGCCTGATTCGATCTTAATTTCAATTTTACATTCCAATATATCCCCAATTATCTTTTATCTGCTTGGTAATAAAGAATCTATCTGTAAACCTCTCTGCTTTGTACTCTCCTGTTAAGGTACTAAACTTCTAAATCAATCATTTTATCAAATTTGTGATATCTCTGTGGTACAGTTTCAGTTTTTTCTTTGCCTGACTATGCACAATGGTCCATTTTTCTACCTTAGAAATGCTGTATAGATATAGGTTGTCGTTATTGGATCTGCAGTCTATTGATGTGAAAGAGGAGAGGAAACCAGTGTGTTTAACTATCCATTGCTTTGCTTTGTTTTTTATACTCCTAGTGCAAATGCTGGAGAAGCTAATCCCAACCTTTTCTCCCATTTTTTAGGTAGGAACAGAATGGGACCCCAAGGAGCGACTGTTCCGTAACTTTGGGGGTTTGATTGGGCCATTTGATGAGCCAGTTGCCATGCAGAAGTGGGCCAAAGGCAGTAACATGACCGCCACAGTTGTATGGATTGACCCCACTTACATTGTGGCAACATCGTATGACATAATGGTGGATTCAGAGGCTGAATATACGCATTACAAACCCCCGTTAAACCACCCTCTGCGGCCTGGGAGCTGGATCGTGCGTGTCCTGCATCTGTGGGTTCTCCTGGCAGAAACCAAGTTCCTGGTGGTTCCCCTGGCCTACAGTGGGAAGCAACCTTTCAGAAAAGGTACATTAAATCCTACAGAGCTTTGAGGCCTGTCACAACCTGTCACCTACCTGTCACAAGCACAGCATACCTTTTGCTTGACTATGCAGCACTTTCTCATTTAATCTCATTCTTTTTAAAAACCCTATACTTCAGCATTCCTCAAAAGTATTTTAGCAGTAAATATGGCCAAAGAGGAAATTGGTATAAAGGCAAAATTAATGACTGCATGTTGAACATATGTGAATAAATGGCACAAACGCAGGGTTAATGGATCTGACCTTATAGCCATTATGGTGGCATGTTTACAAGGAGATCAAAACTGGGAACTAACTATTCAGGGGTATATGGCTTTTCAAAAGGACAGGCAGGAAGGGAACGGTGATGGACTAACATTGGTAGAGTGAGATGGGATAAAAATGGTAAGAACAAGTAATCTTGGGTTGGAAGATATAGAATCCACACGGGTGGACTTAAGAAATAAAAAGGGGAAGAAGACACTGGTTGGAGTGAACCATAGGTCCCATAATAGAAGCCACGCAGTGGTCCAAAGAATAAATCAAGAGATAACTAGGCCATGTGAAAAAGGCAGTAGATTAATCATGGGTGACTTTACTCTTCATGTAGATTGAGATAGTAAGATTGGCAGAGTTAGTCAAGAGGAAGAATTCAGAACGTACATTCAGGATAGTTTCCTAGAACAATGTGTTGTGGATCCAACCAGGATCAGTTTATTTTGGACCTAATGATATGAAATATGTCAAGTTTAATAAATCATGTCAGAAGAAAAGATCCCCTAGGCAATAGAATAAAACATTCAGTTTGAGAGGGAGCAATTTGTGTTTGGAATTTGGATAATTACAAAGAAACAAAGGCAGAGCTAGCTGGAGTAGATAGGGAAAGGAGTTTATCAGCAGAGACGGTTGAGGAGCAACAGCTAGTGTTTAAGAAAATTGCAAAGATATTATCCCAGTGAGGAGAAAGGATTCTAGGAAGGGGATAATAAGACCATGAGAAACAGGAACAGGTGTAGGTTGTTCACCCCCTCAAGTCTGCTCCGCCATTCAGTAGGATCATGACTGATCCAGCACTCCTCATTTTCCACTTTCCTGCTTATAATCCTTGATTCCTCTACTGATCAAGAATCTAGCTATCTCAGCCTTAACACAAGGACTCTGTCCCCGCAAGTCTCTGTGACAAGGAGTCCTAAAGGCAATCAACCTCTGAGAGAAGAAATTCCTCCTCATCTCAGTATTAAATTGGTGCCCCTTTATTCTCAGACTATGGCCTCTGGTCCTAGACGATCCCAGGAGGAGAAATATCCTCTCAGCCTTTATGGTGTCAAACCCCTTAAGAATTCTTCTAAATTCAAATGAGTAGAGTCCCAACTTGTTTACTCTTTGCTCATAAAATAATCCTTCCATACCGGGGATCATCATAGTGATGTTTCCGTGATGATGAGCATTCTGAACACAGAACTGGTGGAGATTAAGAGCTGATCTCCATGCTGTACTGCTTGAGTGTGCACAGGATTACTGGTTTCTGTTAAATGACAGAACCCTCCCCCATAAACTCTGTAAGATTCTGTGTTATACTGAAACTATCCAGACTAGGAGTTCCCTAGATTAGCCTCTGGAATGTGATGGGGATTGTGAGAATTAGATCACTGACATAATGGAAATCAACAAATCAATTCCCTTTGTCAAGAGTGACTGGTGCAAACTTCTTGAACTAGTAATTGTGCAAGAGGATAAAATGTGGGGGAAGGGTTTGGTGTCGTAGTGATCAAGTTCAGAGGCCCAGGTTGATGGTCCAGTTCAAATCCCACCATTGCAGATGTTACTGAATTCTGAAATTGAAATCTAGTAATGCCAACCATGAAACTATCAACGAATGTCATAAAATACTATTTGTGTCACATTTCTCCTTCCTTTTCTTGAAGGAAGAAATCAGCCATCCTCACATGGCCTGGCCTACATATGACTCCGGACCCACTGAAATGTGGTTCACTCTTAACTATACTCTGAAATGGCCTCATAAGCCACTTAGGTCAAGTGCAATTAGGATGGTCAACAAATGCTGCCTTACCAGTGATGTCCACATCCAATGAAAGAATAAAGGGAAAAAGTAATCAGATCAGGCTGGACTGCCTCTACAGTTGAATACTTCATTTGGAATCCTGTTCTGTTAGCACTTAAAAAAGAATGAGTTTGAATTTATACAGTGCCCTTTGCAATAACTAATGCCTGCCGAACCAACTTGAGTATAAGATTAAGAATAAATTGTTGTTAATATAAAATATGCATGGTATGTCACTGTTGAGGGCATGTGGAAGCCAAGGTGACATGATGGTCCTGCTAACAGTGATCTATTAAATGGCCTCAACCAACAACACTGAATAAATATGACCAGGATACTGGAGATAACATCAAGTAGTGAGGTGCAACCTATTGCATCCACCTGAGAGGGCAAACATGCCTCAGTCTAACAGCTCATCCAGAAGATGTAACTTTGATAGTGCAGCACTCCCTCAGTAATAGAGATCTAGCCAGGATTATTGGCTGAAGTGCCCCAGATAAGACCTGTCCTTTCAGAAACAGCAGCTATTGTCCAGGTTAATTAATAAAAATAAACTTTCTTTGTCCTTTCTGTGATCCAGGACAAGACCAGTGGTTACATGCCGGCCCACCGAACAATGAGTATATGGACCAGAGTTTCCAGCACCTCAATGGGATTCTGAACCTTCCTCCATCAGATATTGCTATAAAGGAGGCTTTCCGTAACTCTCAGCTAGTTGGCAAGCCTCTGGAATTGTGGGTGTATGAAAGTATAGGCAAATTCTGGTCAGCTGCCAACACGTGTACAGTTGAACCTTCACTGTGCCCATTGCTGCCACCTTGTCAAAAGACCATCTGGAGTTCTCTATCAGATGACCCAAAATCTGAACTGGGACCAGTCAAAGGTGACGGACGCCTGAGGTAGCACAGAAGGTGGAGTTTGGGGGGAGTGCAGTATGCAGTAGTTAAACAAGCAGAAAGAAAACACCTGTGAACTGGCATGTTGATTCAGTGTCCTGTCACTCGTAGATGGAAGAATGACACCAATCTATTAAGAAGACAACATATAGAGTTTAAGAAGAAGGAGATATTATATGCCACAGATACCCTGCACCACAGATTGTCCCAGTACAATGCAGCGATTGGGTCTTTGGTGCATGTTGAATTGAGGTATCTGACCTCAGCACATGGTGGCTGCAAGAGGAATTATAGGACTGTCATCCCTGAATGAATCGGCATCAGTTGAACTTCGAGGAAGCTCCCAACATTCCTGGTTTCACCCAACTGCCTCTGGAATCTTTGATTTCTGCTCAGATCCAGTTTGTGGTTGATTTTGAGCTAACTGCCATTGAGGGTGGAATGAAATGAAATTTTCAGTAATGTCAAAGCCATCTCTACATCACTGCAAGGAAGAAATCAAGCAACTTAAGGTGTTAAGCATTTTAACATATGACACTAACTTCAGAACTCTTTATAATGACGTTCTTTACAAAAAAAAATTCTCTCTTCAATTTTTGCTCATCCTGTTGAAAAATATCTGGGCTAGGGAGTGAAGCACTTTCCATTCAGGCATCCAGTGTCAGAATCAAACACCATCTGAGCAGATATAGCACAGAATTAGATACGGTTTAAACTACCAATTATTTTATCCCCACCTATCCCCCACAGGCTAGGTACAGAATAAAACTCCCTCTGCACTGTGCTGACATTTAGTCTCGGCTCATAGCTGAGAAGGTGATTAACGTTTTTTCACATCCTACATCACTCATCCTGAGTGAGATTGTCGATGTAGTGATGAATAATCAAATGTAAAATAAACTTGTTTCTAATTGGCCTGGTTACCTCAGGATGTCACAAACATTCCAGTCTATTACATTTGAAATCCAGTCACTGTTGTGATTCACTAGATAGAAATAACCAAACAGAGAAGTATGTAAAAATAGTGAGAAAAAATTCTCAAAAGAACTGAATCATCTTAATCTGATGCTTGGCCAGGTGGGACAGCAATGAGGGTTAGCAAAGTTGAGTTCAGGGAAAGACCATCCAGGTCTCTCACTATCGATCACAAACCAATAACCTGTACAGAGAAGCGCTCCTCAGGTGAGGGCAGGATTGAATTCATCCCAAGGTTTTCTGTGATTGAATGTTGAACTCTCAATCTTGGCCGTTAAAGATTATATAAGGTATATTATATGAGATTATATGGCCAATTATATGCGGTACAGATTTACGGCAATGAAGAAGTAATTCAGGTGTTGTGGACAATGACCAGAATTTTGTTTTTACCCAGTGAGTTAAAATCATAGAAGCATAGAATCCCTACAGTGTGGAAACAGGCCATTTGGTCCAACAAGTCCACACCGCTCCTCCAAACAGCATCCCATCCAGATCCATCCCTCTACCCTTTCCCTGTAACTCCACATTTCCTGTAGCTAATCCACCTAACATATACACCCCTGGACACTGTGGGCAATTTAGCATGGCCAAACCACCTAACTCGCACATCTTTGGACTGTGGGAGGAAACCGGAGCACCCGGCGGAAACCTAACATCTGGAAAGCACTGCCTGAACAAGTGGTGGAGGTAGATTTGATACTAATATCCAAATATAAGTAGGAAAAATATTTGAAAGGAAGCATTTTTGTGTCTATGGGGAAAGAGCAGAGTGGGCCAAATCAGATAGCTTCTTGAAAGAGCCATCAAGTACATGGCCTCCTGTGGTGTATCTTTCTGTACTCCAGAGGGTGAAGCATGCTGCACCCCAATAAAGGAAGAAATTCAAATTTTTTTTTGCGATGGAATCATTGTTGGCATTAAACACAGTTTTCATTTGAAAAACATACAATGTGATAGTGCTTCCTGTATGAGTGCAACATTCCAGCTGACCTCATTCCCCCATTCTGCTTCTATAACAAAGAGGTTCAGAGTTCAGTAGTTATTTGAAAGGTATTTTGATTTCATTTTAGTCTTCATGATTACCTGAACAACTTGTTTTGATGGAACAGTATCTAAAGGAGCACTGCATAATTTCTGTAATATAGGAAATGTTATATTGTGTATAGTTCCTTCACTATGTGACAATAGTACTGCATTATTACATATGACTAAACACATTTTCTTCCTTGATTCAGCTTTTACTGTATTTTGCTTCATTACCTTGTCACTCAAAATTCACAAACAAATGAGAATTCATATTTTTTTCAGTAATAAAGTATATGCTATATAAGTATTTAAAAGGTAGTTATTTTAAACACTGAATTCAGTGAGAATCTACTTGAATGTCACACTCACTTACCCATGGATTCTGCCATTTCACAGTATTCCTGTGTTAGAAGTTTCTATATAAATGGATCCCTTACGCCCCACACATCCATGCTGGTATTTGTGCTCCACAAAGGCCTCCCTCCACCTGTTTGACTGTTCTATTCAACATGTGTTTCAGTTGCTTTCTTCTTATCTAAGTTTCCCTTAAATGCATCTGTACCTTTCACCTGTGTTAGTGAGTTTCATAATCTCAGTACTAAAGATAGCAGATTATTTGGACATCATCACATTTCTGTTCGGGGGAGTTTTCTGACTGTACGTTGGCTGCCAGGTGAGTTCACCTCAAAAAGCATATAATTGATTGTAAAGTGATTTGGGAGATTTGGGGTTTCTGGTAGATATGAAAATTATCATTTAAATGCAAGTCTTGTTTTAAACTGTTCAAGTGAGAGGTTCCTCCTCAATTCCCTGTTGGATTTATTGGTGGATACTTTATTTAATAGTTTATTCATTTGTGGGATTCTAGACCAGCATTTTATTGCCTGTCTCAAGTTGCCCTTGAGAAAGTGATTGTGAGATACCCTTAACTGCTGCAATCCATGTTGGTAGGGTCACCCACAATGCTGTTAAAAAGGATGTTCCAGGATTTTGACCTAGTGACGGTGAAGGAATGATAATGTTTCAAAACAGGTTGATGTGGGATTGGAAGGGAGGTTGCATGCACCTGTGTTCCCATGCACCTGCCCACAAGTTAGAAGGATGCTGTCAGATCCACAACACAGGTGCAATGAAGAATTCATTGCATTTTTTATCCTCTTTAACGGAGTAATATTAACATCTTTCCCAGGTGGGTCTATTCAGATTTCATAGAATCATGGGATCCCTACAATGTGGAAGCAGGCTATTCAGTCCATCGAGTCTACACTGCCCCTCCAAAGAGCATCCCATCGAGAACCTCCCCCACCCCTCCCCCGGTCCTTTATCCAGTCACGTGCTGAGCACTATGAGCTATTGCTGTTTAGGTGGTTGGCCTCAACACCTCTGGGCTTTGCACAGGTGCAAAACTACTGCTGACTGTCCCAATAATCACCTCCTCCTCTCATCCTCCACTACTCAACAGCTCAGCTGGCAGAAGGATGAGAGGGGCCATGAGGAAAATCACTTTCATCCAGGGTGTCATTGATACTGCCCAGTTGATGATTGAGGCAAAAACTTTCAACTCACTAAGAAGGAATAAAAATGGAAATTGCTGAAGAAGCTCAGCAGTTCTGGCAGCATCTGTGGGGAGAAAGCAGAGCTAATGTTTTGAATCCAGTGGCTCTTCAGAAGATGAAGAGCATTGCAGAGCGATTTAAAGAGTCAACACTCAAAACATTAACTGTGCTTTTTCCGCACAGATGCTGCCAGACTTGCTAAGTTTGACCAGTAATTTATACATTTGTTTCAGATCTCCAGCATCTGCAGGTTTTAAAAGAAATCTGGATCTGCATCTGAAGCATTGTAATCTGCGAGGCTGTGGACCAGCCACTGGAAAGTGGGATTAGACTGCACTGCTAGATTATTCAACCAGTACAGGCATAATACACCAAACGACTGATTTCTGTGGTTCTATGCAAATTGATTGATGATCAAGTTACCTAGCACTAGAATTGACTGGAAGGGTGATAGAAAGATCTTAATGAAAATCAAATTAATTGAATTAGCTGAAATGGATTTATCTGGTAATGGACTGAGAGGCTTCTGAATGAATGGTGGAAGAAGTTTCTGATGGAAGAGATGGATGACAAGTTGAAATGAGTTGATGGTGGAAAGAACTGGGGCAGTGTGTTTATGATGGATAGATCTAGTAATAAATGAAATAGATAATTGAGGAGATAGTTGATTCAGTAATGGGGAGCAATGTATTTGGTCCTGTTGTTCAATGAAGCAAAAGCAGACCAATTGGAAATGAAAATTTGGAAATGTAACATTTATTTCACTTGGTTTACATTTTGAACAAATTGTTCAGTGTTAGCAGCATCTAGACTTGCAGTTTTACATATCTTAAGTGTATAACTGATTCTATAAATGCTGATGATATACACCTAGGAAGAGCAAATTAAGATATACATAAGTGCAAAATGTTCAGAAAAATGCTTGTTTTCTATTTACAGTAACAGTGCATCTTAGGTGACACTTACATTTAATATTGTGACAGTTTTGAGAAAGAATTCCTTGGAACAAAGACCGATGTGATTTTTTTTCAATATTTCTTAATGTCCAAACCCACTCAAGCCTGTGACTTTGAACCATATAATTTCTGAGACCTTAAATTACAGCATTCTTCCATTCATCTTGGAAAAAGAAAGTCTGCAGTCAAATAGGCAAGTGAACAATAGATTGGATTGCAGATTAGGTTTTGAAGCAAGCCTGTGCCCTGAAGGAATTATAATAAACCAGGTAGCTAAACTATTACTTGCATTCACAGAAGCATGAACTATACTACACATTTAATTCAGGACAAAGGGGAACTGATTCTCATGAATCTATGAAACAGATGATGAAAATACATGTTTATTTAAGGTACAAAAGTAATGCATTAGCATTTTCAGTGTATTATGCCACTTATCACAGCAGACCTGGTTTGCTCCATGTGGTATCTGTTCCAATGAAGAATTGAGTCATAACCAACTTCAGTTGGCAACCACACTGAATCATCAGATATTCTGCAGGAAGCAGCTTGCTGGGAGTTCAAATAGCGTGACATTGAACTTCACAGGAGTATGCAATGGAGTAGCAGGTAGGTCCTGACTTCTTTCATTTTTCTGTAGGGTTTGAGTTTTCCGGCAGCACAAACATTTAGTGCCATGCTTAATTATTCTTGAACCGATGATTAAAATGAAGTGAAAAAAAACTTTAAAAATGTAGTGTTGGATTGAATTTAGTCAAACTAAAGGGGCTAAAATGTAATGTCTTCCGCTAACTGCCTATATAAGATCCTGGGCATCATTGGTAGAGACAATATCAATATCACCAATGAAGAAATACAACAAAGGACTGATTAGAGACAACTACAGGACATTGTGATGAACAGATGAATGATGCTGGCAGTATTTCACCTGTCTGCAAGTGGCAGAATCAACACCACCAGCTCAGAAAAGAAGACAGGTCTGGCCAAAGAAAGAAAAGGTGTTGGGCTCATAAGTATATCTTCCAATTGGCAGGCTAAGATCCAAGGTGTCCTACCTTTCCTTCATAAGATAACTTGGATGAAGGAATAGAGAGCTTTCCTCGTGCCAATAATGCTGTCTTAAGTTAGAGTAAATAGAGTAGTAAGTTTCAAAGAGACACCGATAGTGAGTAAGCAACACTGTCAAGTTGAATTTTGGGCCCACTCTTTAGAACCAAGAAATATTCAGATGATAATGGTTTGTCATGGTGATAAAAGGGAACTAGCAGATATATTTGGATCTCGAAAAGCCATTTGATTAGGCACTGCACTTAAAGCTACTTAATAAAAGCCCATGGTGTTGAGGGTAGTATATTAGCATGGAAAAAGGATTGGCTAACTCATAGAAGACAGAGTTGGGTTGGCAGATTTTCAGGATGGCAGCCTGCATTTAGTGGGGTGCTAAAGGGATCAGTGCTAGCAGCACAAATATTTACAATATATTGATGACTTGGATGAGGAAATTGAATGCACTATAGACAAGTATGCAGGTGACACAAATAGATGGGAAGGCAAGTGGTGAAGATAATACAGACTTTACAGAGGGTTACAGTCAGGCTATGTGCGTGGGCTGAAATTTGGTAGATGGAATATAATGTGGGGAAATGTGATGTTAAGCACTTTGGGAAGGAGAATACATGAGCTGAATATTATTTTTTGGAGAAAGACTACAGAAAACTGCAGAACTAGGGGATCTGAGGGTCCTGGTACATAAATTACAAAAGGCTATCATTCAAGTTCAGTGCATAATAGAGAAGACAAATAGAATGTTGGTCTATAATTTAAAGGGAATGGTATATTAAAATATGGAATTCTTGCTAAATTTATACACTAGTTTGACTACACTGAGAAAACTGGAAATAATTTTGGTCCACTTATGTAAGGAAGCATTTGAGGCAGTCCAGAAATAGTTCACCGGGTTGATCCTGGGCCTGAAAAGATTTTCTTACATGGAGAAGTTGGGTAGGTTGGCCCTGCACTCATTGGAATTTAGAAAAATGAGAGGTGACTTCATTGAAACATATAAGATTTTTGGGGACTTGACAGAGGATATGCTGAGAGATTATTTCACCTCGTGGCAGAGTTTAGGACAGGAGAGCATAAGGGGTCACCCCGTTAAGACAGAGATGAGGAATTTCTTCTCTGAGGTAGTGAATTTGGAATTCCTTACTGCAGAGACATGGTCATTAAGTATATTCAAGGCTGAGATTGACAGAATTTTAATCAGTAAGGGGATTGAGTGTTATAGGGAAAAGCAGGAAAATGAAGTTGCTGAATATCAAATCAGCCATGATCTCATTGATGAGCAGAATGATTTACTTCTGCTGCTACATCTTATGATCTAAGAGTTTTTACACAGATCACACTTGATGTTAATACAAAGTATATTTATAATAGCTAATGGAATTTTGTCCTTTATCTCTGGGATACTGAAGACAAAGTCCTGGGAGTTATAAATCTCAGGTTGGATCCCAGCAAAGTACAGTGTTCAGATTTGTGCATAGAATTTCAGGCAATATCAGTCATGGAGTAGTTCTGAGGTCAGATTACAGACCCAGGCCTGTATTTCCATGACCATCAAAGATTGCAGGGAGATATAACTGAGGTGTTTAAAATTATCAAATAGTTCGATAGAGTGAACTATTTCTTTTGATAGGGAGCCCAGAATAAATGAACTATCTTTCAATTAGAGCTAAGGTGTTCAGGTTGATGACAAGGAGCACTTCTTCACTTAAGTAGTAGTAGAACCTGAAGTCTTTCCTCTTAAAAGAAGCTGTGGAGGCTGATTGAGCTATGATCTATTTGAAAGGTGGAACAGGCCCAAGTTAAAAGGACTATGTCTGTTCCCATGATCATACATTTTTAATATCAGTTCCTCTGTTTTGAATGTAGTCAAAAGATCCTAGGTATACTTGGCGTTTTTATTATTTATGAATTACTGTAACTTTGCACAGCTTTACTTGAGATTATGCTGTTATTGTTGATGATTAACGCACTGGGAAGAGCAAATATTTAATGTTATTGTATTTATACTAAGTACCATGCATATAGTAAATTCAGTTAAACTTCGAATCCCAGCACTTCTCTCATCGTCTCCCTGACTGTATATACACTCTTCTGTCAGGCACTTGATTGCTGTAATTACGCATAATCAGAGGCCCATATTACAATTCACTTTCTGTATAATATCAATAATGCAACATACAAATAGGATTAGTCAGGAATAAAAAAAAGTTGCTGGAAAAGCTCAGCAGGTCTGACAGCATCTGTGAAGGGAAAAAACAGAGTTGAGATCTCCCAAAGATCCACATTTCGACATTTTTTTGTGAAGTAACCAAAAAGATTGAGAGCAGAGCAGTAGACATTGTTCACTTGGAATTTAGCAAACCCTTTGACAAGGTTCTGCATGGTAGATTAATTGGTAAAATTAGATCACATGAGATTCAGGGTGAACTGGCCAATTGGATACATACAAAATTGGCTTTATGGTAGGAGATAGAGGGTGGTGATAGAGTGTTGTTTTTTGGACCGGAGATCTGTGATCAGCGATGTTCCATGGGGATTGGATTCCATTTTTGTTTGTCATTTGAACATTTTTGTTTGTCATTTGGATGAGAATAAAGAGGCATGATTAGTAAGTTTGCAGATGATCAAAATTGGTGGTATACTGGACAGTGAAGAAGGTTATCCAGAATTATAAAGAGATCTTGTTCAATTGGGTGAATGGGCTGAGGAGTGGCAGATAAAGTTTAATTTGGATAAATATGAGGCTTTGCATTTTGGTAATACAAACAAGGACAGGACTTACACAATTAATGGTAGTGCCCTGGATATTGTTGTGGAACAGAGAGACCTAGGGGTTTAGGTACATAATTCTTTGAAATTTGCATCACAGGTAGACAGGGTGATTAAGAAGGCATTTAGCACACTTGCCTTCATTGCTCAGACCTTTGAGTATGAGAGTTGGGACATCCTGTTGAGGTTGTACAGGACATAGATGAAACCTCTTCTGGAGTACTGAGTGCAGTTCTGGTCGCCCTATAATAGAAAGGATATTATTAAACTGGAGAGGGTTCAGAAGAGATTGATCAGGATGTTGCCAGAAATGGAAGGTTTGAGATATAAAAATACACTGGAGAGACTGGGACTTTTTTTCACAAACGTAGGAAGTTGAGGGGTGACCTGATGGAGGTTTGTAAAATCATGAGAGGCACAGATAAGTTGAATGAGAAGGGTCTTTCTAGGGTGGGGAGTTCCATTTTTAAGGTGAGAGGGGAAAGATTTAAAAAGGACATGAGGAGCAACCTTGTTACACAGAATGGTTTGTATGTTGAATGAACTGCTGTTTAAAAGACGTTTAGATAAGTTGGTGAATAGGAAAGGTTTGGAGGGAGAGGGGCCAAGTGCAGGCAGGTGGCACTGGTTTAGTTTGGGAATATGGTTGGCGTGGACTGTTTAGACCGAAGGGTCTGTTTTCATTTGTGACTCTGTCACCTCTGTTTTTGAACAGAGCAAGGATTGAACGATTTGTGAGAAGGAATAAGTTGTGCAGCAGGAACCATGTGGCATTCGATATTGATTGCCACCATGGTTGGATGTATTCCTGGAAGTTTTCAATGCAAGAACTGTTATGTATAATGGCTCTGCTTCCATGCTAATGGCATTGGTTACCTGATATGTCCATTCCAGGAGCACCAGCGTAATGAGAGCAGACTTTGAACTGCCTAATTGGATCATTTTTGCTGATGCCTTTCAGACCCAGCTTCAATTTCATTTTTTTTTTAAACCCTTACCATTTTTCTCTCTTGGTTTGCACATCCAGGAAATTATTTTTTAAGAACAGCAGACTTTAGGACAATTCAGGAAGGGTTGGCAACCTTATTTCAATAACATCTTGCATTGACTATTTAGCTTGACACTCAGTAGCATTCAGATCTGAGTGATGCCCTCAGTTATGATTTACAAGGGAATTGAGACAGGAAAGTGCAGTTATGGCTACAATCAGCAATCATCTTACTGAATGGCAGAACAGATTTAAGGAGCCAAATATCCTTTTCATGCTCCTATTTCTTATGTTCTTATGTTGAACTTTCAGACTTACACAGAACAGAGACATATAAAAAAATAGATGATCATCCTTTCTCTATAAAACATGGGGTCTCCAATACTTCTGAGAACCACTTCACAGTTCTAACTTCTGTCCAACTGTAGTCTTCAATTAGGCCTCATTCCAAAAACCTTTGGAAAAATGCTACATAGTTAATTCACTGTGAACACAATGTCCAGTGCCCTTCATGAGAAGGGTTATTAGGTCCTGGACCATACTGTCGCCAAGAATGGTGGACATTTAAGAGTGTTGTTTAGCGAGTCACATGATATGGAAGTATTGTCCTGGCAGGTGACTTGCACACACAATGTACTGACTGTGGCTTTGAAAAGCTTAGTCATATCAAATGTGATGCCACACTGCTCACTCATTATTGAGCTGGTAACCTGTGGGGTCACGTGTACACCCTGGGCTGACATAGCCATCACAGAATTAAGAATATAGCCAACAGACACATTTTGTTTTTCTTTGTTGGTGTCTAAGAACACAAAAGCTTTGTCCAGCCGCTCTCCATTCCGGCAGCGCAAGTGGGAAGGCCAGCAGTATTCATTCTCACTGGCTGTTGAGACAAGAAAGGAAATGGAATATGGTTACAATGATTTAATTTGAACTTTAATAGGAGGTGTTGTCTTTCAGATGAGGCATTAAGCTGAGGACCCAACCATCTATGACTTTGTCATCTCAGGTGAATATAAAAACATCCTATGGTCTTATTCATTCAACAGAAGGGCATTTCTCCCTAGTGTCCTGGCCAATATTTATCTTTTTTTCTATTCATTTGGGTATGTGGGCTTTGCTGCCTTGGCCAGCATTTATTGTCCATCCATAATTGCCTTTCAAAGATGGTGGTGAGCTGCCTTGTTGAAACACTGCAGTCTACTTGATGGAAGTACACTCATAATTATGTTAAGAAGGGAATTCCAGGATTTTGACCCAGCAACAATGAAGGGTTGACAGTATATTTCCAAGTTGGGATGGTGGGTAACTTGGGGGGAGGTGTTGGTGGTGAGGGAACTTGCAGATTGTGGTGTTACCATGTAAAACTGCCCTTGTCCTTGTATATCATTGCGATTGCAGGTTTGGAAGATGCTATCTCAGGAGCTTTGGTGAATATCTGCGGTGCATCTTGTTGATGGCACATACTGCTGCTATCGAGCATCTGTGGTGGAGGGGGTGAATGTAGTGATGTTGGTATCAATCAAGTGGCTTGCTTTTTCCTGGATAGTATCAAGCTTCTTGAGTGTTGTTGAAGCTGCACTAATCCAGGTAAGTGGAGAATATTCCATCACATTTTAACTTATAGCTTGTAGATGGTAGACAAGCTTTGGGAGTCAGGTAGTGAGTTACTTATTGAAATATTCCTAACCTTTGACCTGTTGTTGCAGCCACGTATTTATATGGTTAGTCCAGTTCTGTTTCTGGTCAATGGTAAGTCCCAGGATGTTGATGGTGGGGAATTTGGCAATGGTAATGGCATTGAATGTCAAAGTGCAAAGGTTTGATTGTCTCTTATTAGAAGTGGCCATTGCTTGGCACTTGTGTGGTGTGAGTATTACTCGCTACATGTCAACCCAAACCTGAATATCATCCAGGTCTGGCTGACTCAGCTATTGCTCAGCAAACATCACAAAACATATATTGCTGTTAGTGGGACCTTACTGTATGCAAATTAACTTCTAAAGTTTTGACAATCTGGTAGTGATTGCACTTTACAAGTAATCTGAACGAGTATTAAAATATGCATGTGTAGATTTTGAACAGTCAGCTTTCAACCTTTCCTGTCATTTGTTACTTGTTCCATTGTTCATCACAAATGAAAACATATACAGCAAACAGGGATTAAAAGATCAATATACATTGTTATATTTGCATAGTGTTATGCTTTTACCCTACAATTCTGCTGCCGTTGATGGATACAGCTGGTGTATTAGCTTCAAGTAAAGATTCAGATAGCTTTAACCTTTAAAGCTAAAGTCACCATAGTCCCACGAAACTATAGGGCTGCTCTCTCATGAGAGACAGATGTCTGGTTATTGCTCAACCTGAGGATCATCACACCTCTCAGGCAAGGAGAGAGACTAAGAAGGAGAATCCTTTCTGGTAAACTCATCCAGTGTGGGAATTCAGTGCATGCTGTTGGTATTACTCTGCATTGCAAACCAGCTGTTCAGCCAACTGAGCTAACTGACCACCTTACTTCAGTTTGCTGTGTAGTGTCATTGTCCATGTGAATGGTTATGCTGGGTTCTTGAGTTATGGCATTCTCTGTCTCACAGCAGACTAGTACAGTGGTCAAACATGAAGGTGCACTCAATTAAATCTTTCTTTTTCTGTCTGGGTAGGAGCAGGATTGATTATCATTTTCATCACTGCCAACATGGACAATGTTGAGAGGGTTCCAGAAGATATAGAGAGGTCATTGAGTAAAGTTGTCATGAGCTTCAGATGAGGTTAGAAACGGGAGGTGATGGTGTACTGGTAATATAACTGGTCTAGTAATCTAGCAGAGATAGTAGGAACTGCAGATGCTGGAGAATCTGAGATAACGAGGTGTAGAGCTGGATGAACGCAGCAGGCCAAGCAGCATCAGAGGGCCAGGAAAGCTGACGTTTCGGGCCTAGACCCTTCTTCAGAAATCAGAATTTCTGAAGAATGTCCGAGGCCCGAAACATCAGCTTTCCTACTCCTCTGATGCTGCTTGGCCTGCTGTGTTCATCCAGCTCTACACCTTGTTATCTCTAGGAATCTAGCAGCCCAGATTAATGTTCTGGGGACATGGGTTCAAATCCAACCATGGCAAATGGTGAAATTTGAATTCAGTAAAAGTCTAGAATAAAATGTTGGCTTAATGGTGATCATGTCACAACTGTCATAAAAACCCACTTGGTTCACAAATGTCCTTTAGGGAAGGGAATCTGCTATCCATATCTTTTCTGGCCTACATGTGATGCTAAACCCATAATGATGTGGTTGACTCTTACTGCTCTCTGGACACTGAGGAATTGGCAATAAAGGCTGGCCCACGCAATGATGCCTTCAACCCATGATCAAAGTTAGAAAACGATAGTGAGCTACTAAGCTCTTGCCTTCCATATGTAGAAGTGAGTGCCTAGGAATGCATGGTTGCTTGGGTATATGGCTATGTCTGTAGTCTACATGAGTTTTTGTGTGTGTGTGTGGTGGGGGGGGGGAGCAGGGGATGGGAGATTTGGGGGGACAGGGGTGGTGCTGCATGGAATGGGGCTGTTTCTGAGTTTAATAATATTACATAGCTAAGACAGCACAGAAGCAGACTATATTACCTACCCCTCCATGCTTGTGTTTGTGCTCCGCCCAAGCCTCCAGCCATTACTGATCTAAATTGTAATCTTTCTTTCTCATACCTTTGTTTAGCTGTCCCTTAAATGGTCTTACACTATTCATTTCAACTACGACCCATGGTTTCAAGTTCCACATTCTTATCAATCTTCATTCCCTATTGGATTTCTTGGTGATTATCTTATTTTGATGGTGTCTAGAACTGTTCTTCCTCACAAATAGGAATTACTGTATCCAGAACTTTGTCAGAACCTTTCAGAGTTATAAAAACCTCCATTCATACAAGACACAGGAACAGGAGTAGCCCATACAGCCCATTGACTTAATGTGATCTTCAGTTTCAACTCAAGGTTTAGATAGAGGATCTGTTTCGGCGTAGGCTTGGAGGGCCGAAGGGCCTGTTCCTGTGCTATAATTTTCTTTGTTCTTTGTTCTTTTGTTTGTTCCACTTTCCAACTACTTCTTGCATCACCTGAATTCCTGAAGGTCCAGACATTTGCCGATCTCAATCTTAAATATATTCATTGATGGAACATCCATAATCCTCTGGAGTAGAGGATTTCAAAAATTCACAACCCTTTGAATTATTCTCCTCATCTCAACCTTAAATGATCGCCCCGTAATCCTCGTGTTTTAGATCACCAGCCAGTGAAATCTCTGAGTCGACCATGCCAACCCATTCAGAATCTTCTGTGTTTCAATCAGATCACCTCTCAGTTCTCTAAATTCTAGTAAGTGTGACCCCAATTTACTCTCATGGGGCAACTTTTCATTCCTGCAATCAATCTAGTGAAACTTTGCTGTACTGCCTCAAATGCAAGTATATCTTTCCCTAAATGTGCAGACAGAAACTCTACACAGTGGTCCAGGTCTGATTCCACCAAAGTCTTGCATAATTAAAGTAGGACATCCTTACTCATTACCCTTACGATAAGGACTAACATACTATTTGTTTTCCTAATTGTTAATTGTGCCTGCATGTTAACTTCATGCATCAGTTGCACAAATACACCCATAATCTGAATATCAGTATTTGCATTTTACATAGAATCATGAAATGATACCCTTTCATGGAATCATAAAATGGCTACAGCATAAAAGGAGACCATTCAACTTGACATATCTATGCTGGTTCTGTACAAGAGTAACCCACCATTTTTTATTAATCACTAAGACACTTTTTTAGCCTGGTATAGGCCTTACTGAAATAATATTCTAATTATAAAACTGCTGAAAGATATTTATTCCAGATATGCAGCTAATAGCATTCTGTGCAATTTCAATCCAACATGGGATGGCACTGGAAACAAAATGGAATCAAAAGCCAGAAGGTGACACGATTACTTAAACTAAGCAGCTGGTAAGCATAAAACTTTCTAGCTCAGACTTTGCGCAGATTAGTGAATCTCTCAAATACCTATATTAATTTTTGTCTAGAAGTTCACTTTGAAATATCCACAGAAGAGGGACAGTGATATTTTTGGAATCACATCCAATAAAGTGCTATAATAGCCAATAATAATCTAATGCATTGGACTTGATTTTCAGACTTGTTGCAATGGTGGGACTTTAGATGAGCCGTCAGAAGAGAGATATGGCAAGGAGCCATACAACTGGTTGCAAAACATGTGGCCACAGTTTCTTTTTAGCTGACTTGTTGCTATTATCCATGTTGTGTGGAACAGATGCCAATGTGTTAGAGATGAGGGAAAACTAAAAAGCAACTTCAGCTGACCTCTTGCCATGTAACTTACAGTTGGCAGTTTAAGTATGCACTGGGTACAGAAGACTTGCTGGTTACTTGGTAGGAAATAGTGGGAGATATGAGAAGCCCTAGAGGGAGATCATTTTTATCTTTCCATACCAGATTGGTTCACTCTTTTTCTTTTAAACAAGCTGCAAATTGTAGCATGGGAAGTAATAATAAGCATATATATGGCATCAATGTTTTTGACTTGAGTCATTTTTCTGTTTGAAAGCTAGTTCAAATAAAGTAATGTTGATCTTGCTTGCAGAACATATTACAAATGTGACATTTTACCATTTTTACAAAAGGATCATATACTTAGACACTCCAGTCTAGATCTTCTGTTCTGACGGATTCTCTCACTTTTTCGTAGTGAATGCTGCTATCATTCTGTCCTAGAAAAAATGCCCACATTAAAATTGGTATGTGTACTTAGATGAAGCAGTAATGGTATGCTGCCATACAGCCAGGTTTTTGCTCATTGCTACTCAGCT